ACACCAGCTCCCGTTCCACACTCCATCTTTGAACCGTCGGTATAGACAGCTATGCCGCGGAAAGGTGGGTTGTTTTGAGCCCAGGCGTCTCTGTCAGGTACGTGTATGTCAGGTGGGTAGAAGCTTAGTCGTGGTGAAATATAGTCACTTGCAAAGTCTCCCACATTCCTTACACGCCTTAGAATCGCAGAATGTCCAAAGGGTTGACTGCGCCATTCACCTAGTTCTCTGAGTCGAAGAGCACTCCTGGATGCCTGTTCCTCCACATATAAATTCAGTGGGCCTAGGCCCAGTAGAGTATCCAGTGCTGCTTGAGGCGTGCTCCTGAAGGCACCCGTTATTAGTAAGATGCGGCCCGTTGAACTTTGTTGATATGTCGTAGATAAGTTAACTTCTTCAAAAAATGCCACCATACTAGAGATCCATAGGTTAGAATGGGGCGAACGATTGACTCATACACCCATTTGATGATGTGCGGTTTGAGGCCCCAGCTCTTGCCTATAGAATTCTTGCAGGAATAGAGTGCAATTAAGCCTCTCTTAGCTCGTTCCTCGGTGTTCCTCTTCCAACTTAGTCGGCGGTCAAGGATAGTGCCAAGGTATTTGGCTTCTAGCAAAAGGTTTAAACTATCCATCTATCAGAGTTAAGTCGGGAGCGAATTTGTACTACTACACTACATCAAGTACCTCTTCCACAAAGGTCAGCATTTTGAATAATCATCTCTATATCTATGAAATGTTTCTACGTTTGTTTGTAATTTATGGACTCGAAAACCCCTGCACATATTTTCCTAAAAATTTCCAAATATACTACAACATTGCCTGAAAGTAACATAGGCTATATAAAATTTTGGAATCCCAATTGAAACTGGAGATATTGCATCAGAATCAGAGGTACATCCCAAAAGTTTAGATTTTATATGCACATATCTACTGATCGATTACAGATACAGTCCCCAAATTTGAAATGCGAAACGGAATTCGAAACAAAAATAAATTTGCCAAATAATTGAAATATGTTTGATGCATTAAATACGCTGTGTACGCCACATTGCAATGAAATTTCGAAGTTGTGATGGAATTTGTCTAAAAAATTTGTTTTATTGAAATTGAAATCGATTTGGATAAAGCTCCCATATATATTTTCGGCCGATTTCACATATTTGATGCACCACACACGACATGTATTCTAATTTCAATGAAATTTGGAATGAGTAACTGCATTTAATTCGAAAATAAATTTGTCAAATTATATTGAAATAGATTCAGATATGAAAATAGCTCCCAATGCGATATGTATGTCTGATTCCAATAATAAGTGACGGAGTTTGGTACAACAAAATTGCCTAATTATTCTGAAATAGCTTGAGGTTCGGATATACCTCCCATATATATTTTTGGCCGATTTCGTATATTTGATGCACCAAATACTCTATGTATCTCCAATTTCAATGAAATACGGAAGGTGTGACGGAATTGGTCCAAAAATAAATTTTGTCGAATTATATTGAAATCGGTTCAGATTAGGATATGATTTTATTAAAAAACATTGGGCCACAACTCCCTTTCAATCGTATTAGGTTAACAGTAAACAAGTAAACAAAGGCTATAGTCGTGCGGGACCGATTATGTATTCCCTACAACACTACAACATGTTAGAAGCCCTCTTATGTCCAAATCCATTTTGGAAGGTTTCGCTTTTGAAATTATGTCACGGTGCACTGCCCAGATATTACCCTTAGCATTTTGCCCAGGTACATTTGCCAAATATTAACGTACTCCGTCGTTCTGTTAGTTGTTTTGGTCCATTTTACAGCTAAATATAATCCAATGGTTATCCAAAATGCTAGAATTCGTCCCTGTCCTTAACGCTCTTCTCTGGCGTGTCATTTGTTTGTAACAGGCAAAAGGAGAGATAGACCCATAGTTCCTTTTGATGATCTGCATAGAATCACTTTCTGAGTTGATTTATGCATGTCAGTCCGTCTGTCCGTTCGTCTATGTATTCTTGTGAACAAAATGCAGGTCGCATTTATTATCCGATTGAGATGAAATTTGGGATGGAATTTGGGACATACAACCGAATTGAGTCTAGAAGCTAGTATGCCAAATTTGGTGAAGATCGGTTCAGATATAGCTATAGCTCCCATATATATTGTTCATCCGATTTGTCGTATTTGTTACCCACAGCCGTAATATGCACTCCGTAACAAAGATATTCAGGGAAATATATCAAATACAGCTCAGAAATACCTTTGCTAAATTTTATCGAGATCGGTTCAGATTTGGATATAGCTCCCATATAGAACTTCGTCCGATTTATATTTTATTGTGCACCAAACGTCTAAAATTTGTCCAAATGGGAAGGAATTTGGCATATACGATTGAATTGAGTCTAGAAGGTAGTATGCCAAATTTGGTGAAGATCGGTTCAGATATAGCTGTAGCTCCCATATAAATTGTTGATCCGATTTGTTGCATTTGTTACCCACAACCGTAATATGCACTCCGTAACAACGATATTCAAGAAAATATATCAAATACACCTCAGAAATATCTTTGCAAATTTTTTCGAGATCGGTTCAGATTTGGATATAGCTCCCATATATATCTTTATCTGACTTCAAATTAATTTTGCACCAAATGTGCAATACAAGTCGGAATTTAAAAGATAGAAATGCTTCGGCATATTTAGTCCTTTGAATTTCAAATTATAATTATAACCATAGGGTGTATGATTGAATTCTTCCATAAAAACTTTTAATTGTGCTTTTAATCAACTAAATTAGCAAAGTGGTGTAGGGTATCATAAAATCGGCCTCGCCCAACTTTAGGACTTTAGGACTTTTTTTACTGTTTTTTTTTTTCTGTTTTTGATTCATTTGAACCCTAATATTTTGCGATCATCTCCAAAAGCAAGATGCCCCTCTGTATCTCCAAATTTAGACTCATCTATATGATTTTCTTGCCTACGATATTTGGTTATATTCGTCAATGAAAGTAAGATAAAAAGCCAGAAGTTCGGATTTTATATATTTCGGATATCGCCTGTAAGTAATTTTTTACACAAAAGTAGTGGTCCATTCTACCCGATGTCTTAAACTCTAACTTCATGCGGGATTTCGTGTCCTTTGGTTTCGATTTGTGACCTTTATAACGCCTTCAAAATCAGAAATATTTTTAATTGTTGGTCCATCTTAAACAATAAATATGAAAACAATAGGCCTAACCCTAACCCTAACCCTACCCTTGTAAAATTTTTCGTGAGGATCGGACGATAATTGCAATCTGTATATAAAAACCCCATCCAGTCTTGTAAGGTGAAAAAATATTACAAAATATACACTTTAATATTGTAAGTCAAATTGAAAAAAATGCATGTGATAAAAAATATGAAAAAATAAAAAATGTCACAAAATACTTCAAATTTATTTTATCATCGTCATTGGCATCTTTTTATGCGATTTTTTTAGATTTTATTGTTTTATGCCAAGAGGGCATTCTGAATTGACAATCGGTCCAGCCATTCTTTAGATATATAATATGTCTAGCTAACATTTCCTTCCTTTGAATATATACAATGCATGGATTTCGCTATATTTATTTACTATCGGCATCTACGTAACGGTCAGAATTGACCTGTTCGTCTATTTGTGGTTTCGCCGCGATCTGTAGAGCACCTGCAAAATCAGGAAATTTTTCTGTATTTGGTCCATTTCAACCCTTTAATATTATGTGATCATCTCTAAAAGCCATAGGCTTCTATTCTGGCCCAGCCCCATCTCCATTCTAAATTTCTAGATCCACTCAGATCGGCGAGATAGGAAGATCCATATATATATATATATATATATATATATATATATATATATATATATATATATATATACATATATATATATATATATATATATATATATATATATATATATATATATTCCTATGTGGGAAACCAATATTTCGAGGTGTTACATAATTTTTGGTCCAATCAAATTTATAATAACCCCAACACATTGTGTTGTAGGGTATAAAAGCCAGGAATCAAGATTGTGTGACATCATAAACTCTTGTTAAGAAATTTAAAAATTGAGGCTGAATCGTTTTAAATCCGAAATCTCCTGATAGAAGTTCTCTCCTCTTAAACAACGATATTTGAATATGCATGTGCCTGCATTGAAGCATCTTCGTCATGCCCGTGCCATGTTCGTTCGTCCACTTCACATTACAATTTCGAACTCATACAATCAAACATTTCAATTTAATTCGCCTAAAACCAATTTAATGCCACCCATAAACGGTGGGCAGAGGAAGCTTCTTCTTTGTGCTTAGCACATTAACGTGGTATGAAATTTAACGCGCTATGATTATTGAACGGTCATTTGTACGCACAATGAATGGATTACTACAGATGGTCGGTGTCGGGCCACAGACAAAACGTTCATCTCTAATACCGACACACCATTCGATTCTCATCGCCGCATCACAGCACTGCACTGTAACTACAAAAGGTCTTGCTTGGCAAATGCAATGTCTATTGTTGTGCGTAGTCAATGGTAAGTTCGCAGGCACGTCTCAGCATTGTACGGAGAACACATAAACTTTGACATTTTTGTGCGCTGCACTTTGGTCGCACAAGACTTGGTTCATTTCACTGCAGAAGGTTGGCTGCGCCATTTGTGTGTCAGTCATGCCACGGAAATGTCCTTGCAATGAATGCAATGGCATCGCTGGCAATGCAATGACGACTATGGTGCTTGGTATTGACGATTATTGCGAAGAAGAGTACGACAGAGTCAGGCACTCAGTCGCCATAGCCATAAAACTAGATGAAAATTGTATTATCATATTTATGTTAAATTCCCCAGAGGCAGGAGTGCCGCCAAAGCATTTAAATGGCTACGAAAGATATCTGTTATTACGGTAAAGACTCAGGCAGCAGATGATGCTGCTCCAGCTGTTGTTTCCGCTGTTCTTGCGGTGGTCTTAGCTGTGACAATGGAATTATCCCTCAATATGATCACGTGTCCTGGTAATGCTAGTCAATTGCAGTTCTTCGAAGCGTGGTGTCAGTGAGTTCAGTTCAGTGACAAAACGATTATTTGCCATTTTTCGGATACGCCGAGAACAATGCATGAAAACTGGGGCAGTGGTATGGTTTGCTGTTGCTCGGTACAAATATCATGGGATTATTGGTTGTTGTGCATTCCTCCAATTGTTTTCTTGTTCGAAGGGATTTTGTAAAGCTATTCTAATTGTTATCGGCATTGAATGGAATATTTGATATTGAACGCAAACAACGTGGTATCATGTTGAAATTTAAAATTAAATGTGTTGGAATATTTTTAATGCAATTTATTTAAACCGTTTTACATCGATCCACCATTTATAAGAAACTCTCAAAATGTAAAAAAAAAAACAAGTAAAGAAGCATTAAGTTCGGCCGAGCCGAAATTTTAATACTCTCCACCACTTGGAACGGATGAGAAAATTTTCAAAAAGATTAAATCCATTTAAAATTCTGTTAAAATCTTAAAAATACCGAATATCGTAATGTGCCGATATATTGGGGTGATATACAATATTGTGGACATATACAGACGAATCTACGTCTGGGGGAAAAGTACTCACAATGAACTTCTTGTGTGGAATTTCACACAATTCCATTGAAAAATGTGGTTAAATCGTCAAAATATCGAATATCGAGGGGTACCGTTATATGGAGGCTGTACGATATAGTGGACCTATATAGACTATTCTCATTCAGGAGGTAAAGTGCTCACAAGGAGCTCCTTGTGTGGGATTTTAGACAATTCCGTTGAAAAATGTGGCTAAAATCATCAAAATATCGAATATCGGGGGCACCGTTATATGGGGGCTATACGATATCGTGGACCTATATAGAAAATTCTCTTTCTGTGGGTAAAGTGCTCACAAGGAACTCCTTGTGTATAATTTCAGACAATTCCGTTGAAATATGTGGCTAAAATCATCAAAATACCGAATATCGGGGTTGGTACCGTTATATGGGGGCTATACGATATCGTGGACCACTATAGATAATTATCATGCAGGGGTAAAATACCAACAATGAACTCCTTGTGTGGTTTATCAGACAATTCCGTTGAAAAATGTGGCTCAAATCATCAAAATATCGAATATCGGGGGTACCGTTATATGGGGGCTACACGATATCGTGGGCCTATATAGACAATTCTCATTCAGGGTGTAAACTGCTCACAAGGAACTCCTAGTGTATAATTTCAGACAATTCCGTTGAAATATGTGGCTAAAATCATCAAAATACCGAATATCGAGGGGTACCGTTATATGGGAGCTATACGATATCGTGGACCGATATAGTCCATCGAACCTGACCTGCCTTCAGACAAAAGACAGATCTGTGCAAAATTGTAGCTTCCTATCTTTATTCGTTTTGACTGTAGCGTGATTAAAACAGACGGACGGACAGGGCTAAATCGTCTTAGAATTTTACGCTGGTCAAGAATATATGTACTTTGTTGGGTCTACATTATTATTTCGATGAGTTACAAACGGAATGACGAACTTAATATACCCTCCATACTATGTATTGTGGAGGGTATAAAAAATTCGTATATGATTTGTTACTTTATTATTGTTATTGCCAAATACTTAGGCTTAATCGAATGATTGTTATTTTTATGGGCGAGGACCTCTACAGCCAATTATCAGGGGAATCCTTTTGTGAACTCCAAGCACGAAATGTTAGTTTATTCCATGAAAGATGTAGCTTAAATCATCAAAATAGGAAAACGTGGATCTATACAGGATATTTTCTGGCATAGGAAGTTGTACACATTGAGAACTCCAAATTTAAAAAAAATCTAGTGGAAGCTGTGGCTAACGATATTAAATACAGGTACAGTTCTATGGAAATCATACCAAAACTTGGACATATATAGAAGAGAGTTCTACCAATCCCAATATACAGGAAATTGTTGTTAAAATTGTGATTAAAACAACCAATCTGCCGGTACAGTTATATAGGGGGAATAGACCAAAACGTCTACCAGACGAACGCATCGCCATAGAATTTTATGCTGATAAAATATAAAATTAAGGAATACCCTACACTACTATTTGTCTGTTCGAGAATTGGAATAATGTAAACGTTTTTTCTACGATAATCGATTTACCCTTTATGATATTGAGAAAAATTGCAAAAGTAGTAGAATCTTGCAGGTTCTGGAATAAAGCATGCGTATTTAGTAGAGCTCCCGTAACAAAAAAAAAATTGTATTGGGAATTTATGTGAAGTAGATCATACCATAGTTGGTATATTTGAATGATTATCAGTCTTAAAGGTAGTCACAATTAGGGAACTCGGAATCGACTTTAAACAAATTTGACGGAGGCTTTTGCACTTTTGCTAGTACTAAATAACATTGTTGTATAGTGCATGATATGACTTCGATAAGTTTTATATTAAAACATATATATTGGAGCAATAGATATACCGGACCGAGCTTCGCCAAATGGAAAAATTGGGTTGAATATGAAAAAATCTATCCAATTTGGGCTGATATTATATATATGGTGGACAAGAACTGAAAAATCAGATCAAGATGTATATCGAAGGTACATAAAAATCTGCACATATCCAAAATTTCAGGTCATTTGGACTGATATTGGCCATTTGGTGCAAAATGAAGCCTGAATCGATTGAAGATATATGGGAGCTATATATAAGTTTGAAACGATTCTCACCAATTTCAATAGGGTTCGTCCTTGGGCCAACAAATATTGTTTAGAAAATTTCATCTCAATCGGAAAATAAATATATAGAAATACTTAGCAAGTAAAGAAAAAACAGTTAGTTTGGCCGGTTCGAACATTGAATACCCTCCATTATTTTTAAGGTGAATGTAAATTTTCAAAAAAGGCCGTTGAAAAATACTACTTAAATCATAAAAATACCGAAATTAGGAGTAACCGACTTGAGATAAAAGGCTAAAATTTTGCACACATGTTTACATTTCAGAAGGCAGGTTAAGTTTGTAAATGGGCAATGTAGGTCCACGTTTTTATATGGCGCCCATATAAAGGTAGCTCCCGATACTCGGTATTTTTATGCGACATTATTCACCGGAATTGTTTCAAATTAGGTATTTGAAGTTCGAAATGGATACTACAGCCTAAGACAGAAAATTGTCTGTGCAGGTCCACATCTTCGTATAGCCCCCATATAACGGTTCCTCCCTATATTCGGTATTTTGATGATTTTAGCTACATTATTAACCGGAATTGTTTCAAATTACGTATTTAGAGTTCGTATGGGAACTACAGTCTGTAACATAAAATTTGTCTATGCAGGTCCAGGTCTTCGTATAGGCCCCATATACGAGTACTCCCTATATTCGGCTCCCAATAATGGTTCCTCCCTATTACCATATTTTGATGATTTTACCTACCCAATATAACGGCAATATTAAGGATTTTATTCTTCGAAAATTTCTAAATTCGTTCCAAATGGTGGAGGGTATTCAAAGTTCGGCCCGGCCGAACTTACTGATTTTTAACTTCTTATATTTCGTTTAATTATGGACAACACCTTATAATATAATTTATTTATGACGATTAAGATCAGCTGCTCTCTCTTTTGCTCTCAATACACCTTGTTATACCATCAGACATATGACTACATAGCGCATATATCATTTTCTACGGACAAGAATATTGTTGATACCAGCCATCAGAACTATTAAAAGCTCATGATGGTACCAATTAATTTAATTTGAGAACAAGAAAATTTGATATTAAACTTTGTATGTTTTTATGTTCATTTCAAAAAATCGTATTTTTAACGTGCTACAAGATATACAAAGAGTACCAATTTTGAAACCAAAACGCATAAAAATTAATTTTCGCATGTTTGGTAGCTTTGATGTGAAAATAAGTACCAGCTTTTGAACTTTTTTTAGTGAAATTTTTATAATCTCAAAACTTTAAAATTCACGAGGCTTATACAGGAGCATCGGAATAACAGATCAGAAATATTTTTTTTTTTCAATTAATTAAGAAAAATTGAATGTTTTAATCTGTTGAAAATAATACAATTTATCCTTTACACTCTGCAGTAAGCAGATCACAACGAACAATGGAAAATCCATATCAATTTAAAGGTGGCGAACCGTAACATCAAATAACGAAGGTTTATTTTCCATTAAGATGAACAAGTGAAGTTAAATAAAAACACAAACATTCCAATATACACTGCGAAAAAATTATCTTCACTTTAATCACATTTATCTTCACTTAATCGTACCAAATATAATTTATTTTAATCAGTTTGTGGAGGAAAAATCCGAAGATTTTGATCGATATATGCCACATTTATTCTAAATCAAGTTTTGATGAAAATACTTACATGAATAAAGATTTAGAGGTTTTGAGCCTTTGTGGATGAAGAGTAGTACGATTTTTGGTCCTAACCAAAATCTAGGAAAAAAACAATTTTCGGAGTTTTAACCAGATCTTTAAATTTCACATGAGATTTATATTTGTTTCGACAATTTGGAACTTTGGTGTGTGAGGCTCCACAAGGAGGGATTCGATAGGGCCCATCTCTGAGCTGGACTTAATTTTAACAAAAATTTTCCAATATAATACTTTTCATGCACTTGTAGTATAAGGGTTGCCCATATTCGACGGACCCATCTGGCAACGCCATAACCGCGTTTGAAGCGTCAGTCCAAGCAGATTTTTACCATGTATCAATACTCGCCACGCGAGCGCTCTGAAATAGTTGAAATTTACAAGAAGTCGATTGTGAAAACTCAACGTGCTTTTAAAACATTAAAAGATGTGAGAAGTGCGCCTTCTAAGAACACCATTAAGCGTTTATACGAAAAATTTTCGACTGGTAAGGCTCTTTCAAATCCGAAGAGTCCATATAAAAGTCGACCAAGGCGATCGGCCGAGAATATCGCTGCCGTACGAGCCAGTGTTGAGAGGTCCCCAAGAACATCCCAAAAACGCCGATCTCAGCAGTTGGGCATGGCTCGGTCCTTTTTACAACGGATTATTCGCATATATATGTACAATGTGTGCATACAAAGGAAGGGGATGTTAGCAAGAATGCTTATATCTCAAGAATGGCTGGACCGATTTTGACAAATTT